TCTCAGCGTCTCTAGACGTTCATCGCAACGTTCCTCCCACGAGATGTAATCATTCAACGTGTCAAGGAACGCGGTCTCTTCTTCAAGCGCTTTGCGATCGTTTATGTATGCCATTTCTTATATACTTGTTATATTTTTTAGAATATTACAATAGTAGAAAGGTAGAACCATACATCAAACCAGATTTCACGTATTGCGTCTTTGCACCTTTAGGAATTTCAAGATTGTGAGTATTTCTATACGACTTGCGATCTCGATTGCTCGCGATCGAAACAATTTGTGATTCGCTCCCGAACTCGACGCGCTTTTTTATTTTGCTCCCTATCTTTCTCGTGATCGTTCGATTTGAAATTTTCAAACTTAAAAAAACCGTTAAAAAGCATCCGGTACGTAACGGTTTTTTTGCACAGTTGGTATCGCAAGAAATAATTACAGCTTGCGATCTCGATTGCTTGCAATCAAACCGACTTGTGATTTGCTCCCGAACTCGACGCGTCTTTTTATTTCGCTCCTTATCTTTCTTGCGATTTTTTGATTTGAAATTTTAAATAAAAAAAACCGTTAAAAAACCACATCTGGTATGTAACGGTTTTTTTACGCAGTTGGTATTGCAGGAAATGATTTATCAAACCGGAAGTGTCTGATCGTTTTAGCGATAAGAAAAGACGCACTTCCGGGAAATTTGCAGTTTTTCTCGGAAGTATTATTATTATTTTATCACGCAGTTACGTGCACCGCTTTCAGAAAATTTGCAGTTTTTCTTGGAATTATTTATATTACTGCGCAATTAAAACTCCCAATTATTATTTTAGCAATGACATCACCATTCGAATGACCTTGAACACGCACGGACCTGTTCAAGTTTTATTTTCAGCGATGACGTCATCATTCTTGCGGTTTTTCTCGAAATTATTTTACTGCGCAATTAAAATTTCTAATTATTATTTTAGCAATGACGTCATCATCCAAATGACCTTGAACACGCACGGACCTGTTCGAGTTCTATTTTTAGCAATGACGTCATCATCTTTGCGGTTTTTCTCAGAATTATTTAGTTTACTGCGCAATTGCGGTTTTTTGAACATGTCCGTACGATGATAGAGTGGGGGAAATTTCTTCATTTATTCTCGGGATATATAAGGCGCTGCACGGTAACAGTCAGTCTTGCTGCGATTGTTCTGCGTGCTACAAGTTGTCGCTCTTTCTCGTACTCCTCTTCGCAACAAATAGCTTGACGATGTTTTGCTCGAAGGTTCCGATGAAGCATCAACAACCTTCCATCGATCTTCAGCGCGAGCCCCAACTCAACGGCGCAAAGAGAAAGAAGTTCAATCAAGAGTAAGTATTTTTGTTTTGCTTTCTTTGTTTTGTTGCTTCTATGCTATTATTTTTTTTATTCACGATAAAATCACGTTTTTTAGTTTTTTTATTCACAGACAATGCAATGGTGTTCAGTCAACATCGATTACACCCAACGTACCGCCACAGCGTACGCGGATACTGAGTCGCAAATACATCTTAATCAAAACGGGGTACAAATATTTCGAACTCGGCATTGGTATTTGATTGATGAATGCACCACCAACCGTTAACATAGCTATACGCGACAACAATGGGAACGAGGTGCTTCTGTCGTCAGAAATGTGGAAGGTGTTGTTAGACAACGAACAAATAATTATGTCCTATTTGTCGGGATAGAGCGACGCGCAGCCGCCGATTCCTGTAGACGGCTGTATTGTTCAGTTTGATAAACAACGCAAAGATCATGCGTCTGACTACAAAGAATAGTCGCATAATATTGTCCTACCAATCAATGTGCAATTTGTTCAACTTGAAACATTGTGGTGCGTGCATCATCGCCTACTTGAACGACGCCATTATTCGCGTGCGAAACAGATTGTCGCGGTATTTCGCGATCCAGTCTAAATTATCCGATCCCGCCAGTTTTGCAAATGTTGTCGCACAGAGCGGTGACTTTGATGTCAACAATATTGTTGATTGCAAACTGTTAGCTGTATGTTATGGCCGTTCCGAAAAATTCGGCTGCCACCCGAAACGGTTACACACCGCGAGTAGCCCTTCCGATAATTCGGACACCACCCGAGATGGCTATGTACCGCGAGTAGCCCTTCCAATTAAACCGAATTTTAGAGTGTGTCTACGTAATTGTTTAGTTTGACCGTTTCTCGATTTTTCCGAAAATCAGTCACAAAGTCGGGAGCTAAGTACGCGAACAGTGGAACCTTCAAATAAAAATAATTACAATGCGGACTTATTATTTGCTGCGGACCAGTGATGTTGATTACTAAAAGGTTCTAGGGTGTGCGGCGTAGTAATTTACTCTTGGATCTCACATTCTGCACTTACTGTCACTCACTCACTTGCTGTGGCACTTCTAAAATCTGTGGCTCTATTTGCCTTTGGTTTTGAGAGTCCTGGCGTATATACAATTTAAAGTAAGCGAGGACTCTCCAATCGGAAAACTCAGGCAAGCTTTGCCAGTTCCATTTGTTAGTTAGTGGTCGGGTAAACTTTGTGAGATCGCCAATCGGCGACGATCTCTCGGCTCGGTCAACTCGTCCGATTTTCCGGAGAAGGGAAAAGGGAGAGTGTTGGTTTTCAATTACGCCACCTAAACTTTTTGCTATTTGTTTATAATAAAATTGCTCGTGGTGCCGGAATTCTATTTGCTCCGGCTGGTCTAAGTTTTATGAGCGGTGTTCTTCCTGGTCCGGAGATATCTGGGTTTGTTTAGAATGGTTAAACAATAAGTTTAAAATTTTGGGTTATTATCAGGTGCGGTTTATCTTTTCGGGCGCCGATATGATTTCCGTTTGCTCTCCTATCGTTTGGAGTCTAAGTTTCCAAACGATAGGAGTTCCGTTCGTATTATTTATTGCTTTTCATTATTTACTAAAAAAAGAGTTTGTTATGCGTTGGCGCGTCGAGTTGCAAGAAAAAGGGGCTCGTGGAGTTGCCAGGACGTAACATACGAAAAGAATTTACATTTTGTAAATACATAATCTTAAAGTGTTTGATATTTAGGTATTTATTATATGAATTAATTAAGTACTATATTTATATAATATAACATACGAATCAATTACTTTAATATACTTTATATGTATTAAATGTTTTTTAATGTTTCAAAAAGTGTAAATTTTACAGTTAACTCATATTTATCATCAATAAAAGTATATAACGCATTTCTTGAAATGTTTTAATATTATAAATAATATTATGTTTCAAGATCGTAAATTTTAATAAAGAATATAAACATTTATTTATATATATACTGTTTCGTCCTGGCCCACGGTTACGGTCGGGCGTGTTCCGTTTGACCACAGTACGATTCGACACCAATCGATTCGACACCAA